ATCTTTCAAAACCTCAACTGGACCTATCACGTTCATAAGAGCAACAAAAAGCCTCTGAAAGTGAACGGACACTGCACTGTACTGATGAATACGAACACTGTTTTGAGGCAGACACCAAACTCACTCCGGATAATGACTCCTTCGAAACAGTACTCGTTCAGCTATGGAGTTTTTCTATGCATGATTGCAATCATCTTTGCTTTAGTTGGGTATATCATTCAGTTTTTTCTGACTCCAGGACTAGGTTGATCCTGGATGCACTGGCTACGCCTTTAGGCTCCCTCTTACAGTGTGGCGGCTGACACCCAGCGGCAGCCGGTAGATTTTGTGACCAGGTCTTTCCTTCCTCAGACCTCGGTCACCGAACGCTATTATTTTTACAAGGCCTAGGCTGATGTTGATTGAATGTATGTGTGCAAATCAACATCAGCCTAGGCCTTATATCAATCTACTGACTAATCGAACTATATGTTATTATTTTTATCGGACCTTTAATTAGCTTAAATCTCCCTGAAAATTGAGTGTATAGTCGTAGTTTACGTTAAAAAAAGTAAAAGATTAATAAATGCATTAGTTTTTCCGTGCTTGAACGGAATAACTATTCCATTTCATAGATAATTTTACTGCGATGAGGCATCAGTGTAGCAGTAAAATAAACACCCCCTGTTTAGTTTGAGCTTCTGTGAAACATTTTGATTCCGTACGGTTGCAATACTTATTACATTTACTTTTGCCTAACTTTCTCCTGCTAGAGGATGAGTCGGCTCCGTGGGCCACTGTGTTTCGTAGGGATTCTCGAGAAAAGAATTGCAAGCGATATCCCCATCGCCCTTTGACCTTCCTATCTGACTATGCACATCCAAGTGCAGACTGCAAGGCAGCAGCGTTGTTCCGGGGATGCCAGTGGCTGTGGTTTGGTCTGTTCATCTTTTCTGGATAGCTTTGTGTGGTGGTTAGATTGGACAACGTGCTGTATATTTATTAGTGGTGGGTTGCATTCACTACATCATCTATGAGAAACCATCTCCGTTTTGTTTCATGACTGGGGATACATAGATCATATTCTGCTCTTAACTTGGAAATAAACTGGACATTTAAATAGCCAATACATAAAAAGTAAGTGCATTCTTAACTTATTTTTCTAGTAAATTGTGCAACGGCAAAACTTTTTATTAGCCCCTTATTTTCGTGAAGGTTGTCGAGGACGCTGTTACGTTTACGCAACAGCTTATGTAGATGGGTCCAAAGGCTCCTGCTAAATACACCTTTCGCTGGCTTTCTTTGCACCATTTCAGGTAGTGTTATTCCCAACGGGTACGGGAGTGTACTGAAGCAGTACAATGCTCACGAAGCTCGATGTCTGCGTGAGCTTCAGTCCGACCGACTGAGCATATACGTACCCAGTTACCAAGGCGAGATAATGTTTAATGGAAAATGTATCCTTTTCGATTTTTGGTTGCTTGTAAGTCGCTCGCAGGAGCTATGATTTTTGATACTATTTCATACGCTCTTTCCTATCTGTAGATTTTCAAATGTAAGTAGTTGAATTTTGATTCATATTGAAGACGATAAACCCAGGCATCTACACTATTGTATTATTTGAACAAATGATTGTTCAGTATTTGCACAGGTTTTTACAGTATGCGGCATCTCTCCTGTTAAATACTTCCATTCCAATAGGTCTTCCAATTATTTGGTTCGTGTTCCTGGATTGATGATACACTGAGTCATAAAGAAGGTGGCATCTAGTTGGAAATAAGAAAAGGGGGGTTATAGGCCAGATGGGCTGTGATGAGTAGTAAAAAGAAGAGAAAGTCAAGAAGAGCTGTACAGTTGATGTAAAAACAAACATGCTGAAATAGTATCATGGGTTTTTGTTGTGATAGACACTTAACCGTGTAATTTGGCGACCTTGATACAAGCAGATCATGCGATTCATGACCGAGAGGAGAGCAGTAGGTTGACTCTAAATACCATACAGATTCACGGAAAATGCTCACAGGGATATGCATTCGCTTAATTCCATTCAAATCAGGCCAACATTGTCTTGAAGTTAAGTTGGATTGCTGAAGTTCGGGTTTTACTAGTCTCATCCCTTACGATGCACTTTTTGCGAGAGGTGTATTCGTTAAACGTAACCAACCTGTTTGATCTTGATTTATTTCACCGTTTCTTCCCTATAAACCAACCAAACTGGAATGATTTTCTACAAGTTTTAAATTGTTGTGGCGTGATCTCTCTTGTACTCAATTGGGGCTCAGAAAAGTGACAGCGTAATAACTTACAAATAAATCCATTCCTGAATGATGAAATCAACAAAAGGTCTACATCATTTTTCTAAATTCCTGCACATATGATCACAAAAAATAAGTCTGCTAACAAATGAGATCTTCAGCAAAATAGAAGGTTCTCCTGTTAGTATCCATCACACAGTTTAATCACTTAGGCTAAACTCATATGCTGACGAGATACTGGTTCGTAAGAAACACAATGCATGCTAATAACCAGAAAGTTTTATCAGAGATAAAAAGGGTGAGAGAATGGGTGCTCTGTCCATGACATTCGACATTCGTTCGAAAGTGGCATCAATTGCCCACGTTATTTATTCGAACCCACGCATGGACACCGCCCACACTTTTGTCCATCACACACTGTATCAGCTGGGTCACGAGCCTACACATACAGCACCAATTTTCTCATACGTTTCATCCACCCACGTTACAATCACACTAATTAGCTTTTAAGCTCTCCCCTGACAGGTTTGCCTTAGAACCCACCCTAATCCACTGGATGCACTCTGGGTTTTAGTTTTCTGTTCAAATTATTTTGCTTGGCAGATAATGGAAGAGAAGAAGTAGTCTTATGTTCGCATTATGAAAAGTTCATTGACCTCGGTCGGTTTCGAACCTACGCATGGTTGCCGGCAACGCTCTTGTAGGGCGAATGTTGCTTCTCTTGAGCTTTGAAGACACGTAAAGCACGAATAACGCTGACAGCAGATATGCATGTGTTCGAATCCCATCAAGGCCGCTGATCTCTTCATAATCCAAACGTGGGGCTATCTTCGTTTATCTGCCAAACTAGAAAATTTGAACACCTTTATCTATACACGCTTCATACATGTAGAATGAGACTCACCTGAACCTGCAAAAACACTGCACAGCTTTTTTGCGATGCGAAATCCTCGACAATAGTGCAATACGTTGGCTTGAGTAGTTCAAGAAACCTAGTAAGTCGGTTGAATTCCCACTCATCGTTACCAGCTATCCTCCAAACACCTTACCATTATTTTCACACGAGGATGGTTTCGTAAATACTAATCGCATCCATTGCAAAGCGGAGGAAAAAAGAAATAGAGCGCCGTCACGGAAATAGTACTCGTCTTAGTAAGCTCGAGTCAAATCAGCCTCGAACGTAGTTGTGGCCTCGACTATCTGCGTGTATGATGGACGAACCGAGTTGGTATATCATTCAAAGGGTGATCGATAGTGTTGCGAAGCAGTACCGTCTACATGTTACACAGGAGAACTTTCGGTGATCTTCATATGTAATAGATGTTGAGTAATGAACCTCTTTAAATAGTTCGATCCAATGTAATTCAGTCATTTGTCCGATCTTTCACGTTTGAATATTGTCGGATCAAGCCAAAAGAAAGAGTGCTGTTATAATCTAATGAAAGCATACAGTGAGAACAAAGGCTTCATCCACCAAATGAATGCTTAACTGAAAAACATGGAATAAGTGGTATATTGTTCCACTGGGTATCAACGTGAATAACACATTCAATATTCTCAGTAACTTGAGAAACACAAAACGGCAGCTCATTCCATTCTGCTTATTTCAGTTTATCGGATGTACAGTAGTGAATTTGTTCTAAAGTAGTTAGGTTGAGCACTGGAATAAATTTGGGGACACTTTTACGAGGTTGTTAGAACCAAAAAATATGGCCTCCAACAAATCGGCTGATGCTTTTAGAATGATGAAAATGGAGTTNCAATTGCAACAAGTGAATAGCGTTCTGAGGATAGTTTTTTCGGACTGCCTTTTTAATCATCATCTGATCGCTCTCCCCCATTTATGGGTAATTTTATTTACCTGCATCGGTTGTAAAACAAACATCCAAACCGTGTTTTTTGTATATCTGGTTGTAGTTTGGCGGTCTAGTCAGCTTATTCGTCCCCCCATTTGTTTTGCTCGTAATTCAAGTTTAGCTGCACGACCTGATTCTTTTTGGTGAGAATGAGCATCGATACAAGAAATTACAGAGCTTTAACGAAGCAGTATCGTGACTTTACTGCATTTGGGACCTTAGCCTAATATTCCCTTTTGAAGCATACGTTGCCTATTGAACTACATTCAGTTTGACCTGATCCGATATACAGAGAAGACGGTCCTAGGACTGTTTTGATTCGTCTTCTCTGGCTTGATGTGGTTGGAAGGTTCGAGGTTCAAACATTGTGATAATTCCCTCCCCCAACTCGGTGGTAGGCTGCTCTGCTTTCCTTCAGCGTAATACCACGCTTATCGTGTTGAAGTCTTATGTGGTTCGGTACTCCCATCTTGCGAAACTGAACATTTGGCCCTCGTGACTACCGGATTTACCTCTTCCACACTTCCCGTCACCAAGAACACTCTTCTTCATATTCTCATATTCTTTTCACCTGTGAAATTATTGGCATGGTAGTCTTTAACTGGAGCTGAACAGCTGTTACTTTGCTAGGACTCATCCTCAACGCACATCTTCCTTGCCTCCTCCCTATCCGGGATCAGCATTTTACGACTGGAAGGATTCGTTCCATTGGGCATTCGTTTTTAGCTCNTTTAGCTCTTACGGTAGATATGTGCTGAAAGTGAATAAAGTTGAATTTCTGAATCATATCTTACTTTGTTATTCATTTCATTATTTCTAGGTACACTACTTGTTGTGCATATCATTAGGCTTATTTCCTTAATGGTGAAAACAATATTGACAATAACATCGAACAAAAGGCTATATACAGATGTGTGATTTGCTGTTCAACTTGGCCTCACCATCTGTAATGGACTGTAAAATCGGCCAGCGTACCTACGTCGAACAAGAAGTTAGTCAAAGCACAGATGGGAATAATCTGCGATCGGTGAGTATCGTTTTATCATGTAAAAAGCGCTCACCAGTGTTTCACACATCGTTTAGGGGTTCGTAGATTGCTGGTGTCTGAGGTATGGAACAATTCTTTTTATCTGAATACGGTATATTCTACTTTGAACATGCAGCATTTGAGTATTTCCGAACTTTTGGAAGCGTTTCAGCTAAAGTAGATATACACATTTTTGAGATCAGCCTCAAAATGGAACAACCTCAGATATTATACTTACTCATCAGCAAAGAAACCGTTCTAGAAGACAACTTAAATGTCGCTCTAGTGTACATCTACACAAGCATCCCTCTGATACGACATTCATCGTGTCTCTGGATTAAACTGTTTCACTAAACTGTTCAAGTACGACCAAAACTTGTTTTTGAAAAGCTTGGTTAAGAGTTTGAATTGATGGTGAGCGTTCTTTGTCGCGAATGCTGTTTGTTAAGCTTATGGGATGGTTTTGAAGTAGTGATGAATACCTGTAGTCTAGAAAATGAATGTAGATGGCGTTTTTCCTCTGAGCTTGTTGCCCAGCTTCTGTGTTCCGTTAACACGCTAGTTTAGGTTGGTAGCTGTGCTTCGATCAAAAATCCACGGATGCAGCGTTCTTCTACACACACACATACACACACACACACACAAGCTAATTATATGTCGGATGTACATATAGCATAATGTGAAAGTTCGAATGATCTCTGCATCCCACATACTTGTTGCCCACACCCATTTGTGGCGAATGTTATCGATTATCCTAAATTCTTAGATCGGATACTACCTGGAGGTGATATATTTTTCCGTCGATCTTGAAGAATTGCTTCTTTTGATAAAAACTCCAAGCGTGTGTTATTTGGAAGGTCGTTGCTTGCCAAGTGGTCTAAGGAACTATATTATCCGTGCGCTGGGTGCACGTGGAATGCTATGGAACAAGACTTATATAATAAGTCTTTACCTAAGATGAGTTTTGTACTGCCTTCAAGATGATGGTCTGTTTTCCCCAATTATTGAATGGCGTTAGGTTCAGCCGTCACAGCATGTTGGTATATCGCGTTCAAGTTAAGAACAAACTCTTAGGACTTCCTCTTTTATCAGAAAGTTGGTTGAAATTATTTTAATTAAGGCTGCTTTATGTGCCGACTTCCGAGTTTTATCTGTCTACGGTAGGCCTGAAGAGGTAAGTATGTCCAGTGGAGAGTTATGGATCTATACTTATTATGAGTTTGTTTATTTTTCACGTCGAACTTATGTTTAGGACAGTTGAGTTATTTCAGTACGTTTTCTGTGTTAGTAGAAAGTGGGAACCGTCGATCAGCCAGATACACAAACCGATTCACAAATAATTGCCTGGTGTAGTGAAATGACTATATTCATTATGTGGCTCCAATAGTCAGTCACATGATATGGGGATAGCATCATGACCTCTTGCACTCGTTCATGTGAGACCGTAGTAGACATATCCTATCGATCCAGAATGCCTCGACATTTTCTCTCGACATCACATAATTCATTGTGGCGGTTCAATTTTCGTAGGAGTAGGAGCTCACCTCATTTAAAGATTTAATTGGGCTCGTGGTTCTTTTTCGCATTTACAACGGGAGAACTAATGTACGAGTAGTGGGTTTTCACATTCTAAATACCCTGTCACAGAATATGATAATTAAGTGTCTATAGTGACAAACATCTATGATCGTTGTGGTCTCCGATGCTGGTTTATCCACCGAGAGACCGTTAGTGCTGATCGGGCTTAAGAAGTATGCTTCTTGAATGCCTAAATCGCTATTCGATTCTGACCGGGCACCAACCTCGTGGCCTTGAGGCTAGTAAGAAGCTTTGGTTGGGAGTCTTTATGGAGGTCTCATGCTGTGACTCGGGTATCATTTCGTCCCCGAACAAATCATTGATCGATTTCCATTCGTTGAAGATTTTCCTGTTGTGATTTGTTTTGTACACAGTATGAGACGAGAACCGTGGTATATATATATATATTTCACAATAATTAGTATGTGAATGACTGGACAAAATTCCCCTGGAAGCACACGACTGGCTTCGCGGTACTTTTTGCTCGTCAGGCATGCGTGTCCGGTAATCTTTTGCCAGTTCATTCGTATACTTGTACCCAGCAAGTGTGTTTTCGTCACAACAACCTTGTTTGCAACACCGGGTGACCATTGGATAGGTGCCACAGAGAACCTCACAAGAATGCATTAATCTTAGACCAACTGTCTTTACTCCGATTGTCCCATCTTTAGCCTAAAGGACTTCTCTTCGCGTCGAACATTTCGACAGAATCAACGTGATTTTTTCATCATTTGTTGTTCAGTTATGCTCCACAATATCTACTTTGGATATCATCTTTTTTAACTTTACATACTATTCGAACATTAATAGGATTTATACGTGAAAATGATAGAAATCGATCCACTGGCCCCAACTGCCGACGAACATTTTGTCCAAGCGGTGACGAAATTGCGCTATATGCAATGGAGGGAAAGTATTACATCAACCGCAGACTATGGGTTTCGTATAGAGGCTATCAAGGTAAGCGCCGTCTTTTATCTTTCCAAATTGTGTGGTTAAATTGTTTGTGTGCGTGTGCCTCATCTCTTGCTTAAACTATTTGACTTCTGTAAACCGTTTTACTACCACGGGTAAGCAGCATAAACTGCATGATTTGTCTCACTTCAGCATACGCACACGCGTGCGTTTGTCCCCGCATTTCCGGGACGGTGGGTATGTCTGCGTCCTATGCTAACACTTTCATCATCAAGTTGGCGTTCCTTCATTCATTATGCTTGTTCGTAGTGTGATTGCCAATCTAGTGTGCTTTATAAATTTTGTTTTCTGGTTTTCATTCATTGGAATAGTATAGTGACGCACCCGATCATCCGTTCAATATTGCAAGAGGGTTTCAGGTTTCACGAATCATCCACCCAGCTTGTTCCTCATTTTTTCAACCTCGGGGATAAATATTCTATATCGTTGTTTCCCGATCGGTTTCGTGATTGGCTGTTTTACGATGCTTTAAGGTAGTTTTGACAACTCCTAGAACTAAACTTTGTCAATATCACAGGCCTCATATATTGTTTTTGAAAGCACACTGTTTCCATTGCATGATCTGTCAAGCAGTAATGACGGACACAGCCTTCAGTTTCATATGAAGTAATCCGGCTAGCACTGAACTGTTCGCTCAGCTGGTCTGTTGCTAACCAGCTTACTTCATCTGCAGCTCCGTGGGCAGTGGCATGCGACCCTCCGGCAGAAACAGAAGTTCGGTCTTGCATTCAAGCTCTAAAGTGAGGAAATGGAGTAGGACTGGATGTGCTCCTTCCCACTCTTTTTCAGATGGTGAGGGGGGGGGGGGGNGGGGGGGGGTAATAACCTCGTAAGCTGTTTTACTACCTTACTGCACATTTGGACGCAAGAGCGCATTCCTTCATTTGAGGGCGAATCACTCACTGATGAAATGAGAGGATCTGGCAACAATTGCGAAAGCCACCACGGCATGAGTGTGATCCCAATCGTCACCCAAGTGCTAGCCTCCATCATACTTCAACGTCTGACTCCTTTAAGAGGGACCAACATCCGTAAACAAAAGCCGTATTTCGACCTGGATGTACTGATCATATTTTGACGTTGTGTCAGCTCCTTGAGCTGCGTCACACCCACCGTCGACCAACGATCACAGTGTTCATTGACCTGAAAGGAGCATTCAACTCAGTTGACCGCGAAGCTGTGGTGGGTTCGCTTCTTCCAAACGGAGTGCCTCAGAAGTACGTAACTCATATACCTCTGTTCAAGTGAGGGTTTATAACGAACTAATTAGGCCGTTAGTCCTCAGTAGCGGCGTTCTGTCAAGGGTGCCCTTTTTCGCCATTCCTGCTCAATTTCATTATAGACAAAATTCTAGAGAACGCACCAAGTGGTCTCGAAAACATCGGTATTAAATGGGCAGCTGAAGAAAAACTGTACGGTTTAGAGTAAGCTGATGACATCGTCCACTTGCTCCATTACTTCCCCAATACACATGAGGGTGGGTGCTGGAACAACCCAGTCTTGTGGCAACATTTTACACTTTGAGGGTGCAAAACGCATACCAAACATACATACATACATACTTACAATAGCACACACTATCCAGAAAAGCTTGCAACTTACCTGAATCTTCACGTAGTAGCAAAATGTCGTTTGCATACTCCAGATCAGACAATCTGCCATCTAGGAGCAAATCGATGCCGCTATGCTTGCACGAGGATAGGGCTGTTTTCATAACCAGGTATATAACAAAGTTTAACAGAAAAGGAGAGGGAGGGCAACTCTGGCGAACGCCACTTTCCGTGGTGAACTGGGGCGAAAAAGTGCCATATGCTCGGACTCGGCTTCGGCTGTTACCATGCAAAATTGAAATTAACTTTTTGGGCAAACTCTCCAGAGCGAGGCAACACCAGATAGGTTAGATGTCTATGAGAGCCACTTTATCTGAACCTGGAAATGTTCAGCCCATCAATCAAGACGGCGCTGCTGCTGCTGAATCAGTGTTCCACTAGATTCCTTAATCACCCCGAACCGATTTTAATGGGTTCCGCATTTCTAATCATACAGAAAAGATTGCTACTATTACCAGTAAATGCAGCTTTCTCCATCTCTTTGTTCTTTCCTACTCGCTACTTATCGCGGTCATTCCTCAGACTCTTCATGAGCTTGTGTTTAAGGGATTTGGGTGCTGTGTCATATGTGGCATCAGGACGAAGGGTTCTGCGGGCGTCCAGAAGGGCAGCCGAGGTCGAAAAGATTCATCGTTTGTGTTTTAAGCCTGCACCATTGTCCGCCATTGATTTTATCGTTATTTGCATGGCTTCTTTGATTTGCTTCCAGTGCTCATTGAGTCCTTCGGCTGGTGGTTGAACTGATTCGGGGATCGAAGAGCTCCGCTTTAAAGGCCGATTTGCAGTAATTGCTAACATCATACCGTGGGTCTCCGTTGTAGTGGCTCTTTGGCGGTTGTCCGACAGGCGTGAGGAGCATTTGGCTCGCAACAAGGCCAGACGTTGATCAATAAGAGCGGCAGTCTTGAATCGACCCTCTCCAGCGGTAACTGATGACGGTGTAGTCCATTTGGATCGAGTGCTATGAAGAGCTGTTGCTTCTTGTGCGAGAAATAGGTGCTCCACAGGAACAGTCAGTGATCCGCGCAGAGTTGAAGTAGACGATCTCCGTCTGGTTGGCTGGGATTGTATGTGGTCCGCCAAGAAGCTTCTCTGACTCGTCCAGGGATCCCATTTGAGTGTTTAAGTCTCCGGCGACTATTACAACGTCCGTTGATCGAGCACCTTCTAGTAATTAAGAAAGATCCTTGTAGAATTCATCCTTTGAATTCAGGTGTACTGTGTTTACTCGGTGCCTATACGGATACGACGAATAAGCATCGACGCTTCGTTCTGTTCTTGTTCACCCGTGCTGAACCCTTGAGATGTACAGCGCACAGTCGGCTACTAACTGGAAATCATTCAAGATGAAAGCACTCAGCATTGGCACCTTGCGCAATCCCAACACCATCTACACCGCGAGCTTCGGATGCCGAGAGTGAAGCGTGAGAATGAGTTTGGATCTGGACAACACAGAGAGCTGACTGAAGTAGGGTCTCATATGCGTGTTTCCGAGACCGAGCATACATCTAAATGGAAGGTTTGAAGGGTTCTAGTCAGAGCAGTTTGTTGACCGACCTGGTAGAGTGTGCGAATATCGAACGCGGATAAGTGAAAAAGCAGTTTTGGCTTCAAAAATCCCATAACTTCTGACTGTTTGACCTTATTAGTAAAACGTTGGCCTAAACAGGCGTATGGGAATGTTCGGGATTCATAGGAGGAACTAGACAGATGTGAAAGAGATTTCTCCAGATGGGTGCCTAAGACTTTAGGGCACGACATACTTCGCGGCAGTCCACACCAACGAAGGAGTTTTTCTTTGGGAACCCTAACCGGAGCCTTTAACTCAAAAGTCTGACCCACAAGACAGTGGGCGCGTAGATCCAACGAGCGAGCGTAACCGAAGCACCCGTGTGGGAGCTTCTAGAGACCTGTCACGCAAAGTCTTCGGGTTTTAGTTCAGTGTATGGTCCGCTGGTGCGTCGGTTGTCGGCCCTCTGTTCGGGATTAGCCCTTCGTCTCATGCACCCAGTGAGACAAGCGGAACGTGGACGGGACAGCATCTTATTTTCTATGGGCTGTCCGGCTTGGGCGGGCGGTAGCTGTCCAGTGAAGTGGGAATACTTCTCCCACTGACGAGAGGAAGCCCCAGGTATCCCGTTCCTACGTCCATCTAACGGGGATGACTTTGACTGGCAAACTGCCCCTCATCGTGTTTATTTGCAGTAGTGATCTCTCCAGGGGCTAGAGTGGATAGACAAAGGAATTCAGGTGTTCAGGCAGCTGGCCTTATGGAACTGAGCTTCATCTGGTCTCTATCCATTGACCTGGATTTGCGGCTGCCATCCCATCACTCACAGGGTCATGGAGGCACGAAAGCCATCACACCACGTCAAGGTGCAGTCTCGTCGTGATGTATCCACTTCAGTATAACTATAAAGGTTGTTTGGATATATGTAACATCGGCTTGAGGACAAGCATGGTGACAACAGTTGAGTGGGTAATTTTTTGTTAGGTTCACCGCACAGGTTTTGAGTTTTTTTGCCTATTATTGGGAACGGGGTTTCGCAAACAAACCGCATAGCAATCTCGCCTCTGAAATCTCTTATGAACCATATGTTTTCGCGTCTTTAATCATCAGAAACCCTCATCCCTTGG